TGAAAAGTGTTTGATTGAAATTGAAAACTTTGAAAACTTTCAAACATTATAACGTCACATTTAAGAAAACAAAAAACGTTGGTCAGTCATAACTGGAGTCCAGTCATAAATCTTGAGAATACTTTGAGAGCACCCCTCCTTAGTGTTGAGTCTTTCAACCTTAGACGATACTTTAGGCCTTAAATTTTTAGAAAATTTTGAAAAAGCATACAAAACAGCATATCTCAGAAACTGAGATAATATGAGCAAATAAATTTCAAAACAAAACTGCAACCTATGAGAGTACCCAAAAAAGCCGCAATGTAGGGTTGAATTTTAACAATTTGAAACTTGGTTTTCTAATTAAAGTTTTTTGAAAAGTAAACTTGGAAAAATATAAAAATATCATATCTCGGAAACAAAAAGTTTTTGAGCTGTCAACTTTGGAGAAACAAATTGCACATTCCTCGAAAACACTTGACTACTGGATGTGGTAGTTTCAAATTTGGTGAAAAATTTTCCAGATCTAAATTTTCTGAAAATTTCTGTACAAATCATAAAAGTTTCATATCTCAGAATAAAAACCCTCATTTCCGACTTATGCTTTTTGTATGATTGTGTTGTATTGCAATTGGTGCAAAACTCTGCTTCAATTTTGTGTTAAAAAGGCAATTTTTTGATTTGCCAAAAGTTTTGCCTGATATTTCGATGCTTCAAAAAACCCTGACCCAAAAATTTGCTCTGAGTTAGCTTCTGCATGCAAAGTTATCAAAAAATTGAGAGTTGATCAGAAGTTGAAAAGACAAAATTAAATAAAATAGCATGTAATGCACCTGAAGTGCTTTAAACAGATTAGTGAACCTGAAAGTTGCTTATACGTAAAATATAAGGAAAAAAATAGAGAAATGTATACGCGGAAACCATCAACGCTTTTGATTTCAAAGTTTGGACGATGAAATAATTTTGACTTAAAGGTTCATTCAACTAAAAGGCTCAATATTCCAAACACTAGAGCATTTCAGATCTTCAAAAGAAAAACCTAAAAAAAGGACGACAACATACAGCTGCATTTTCTAAGTAAAAATAATGAAACAACTTCAATTGCAAAATCATCAAACTCATAAATGGGATTCAAAATCTAGCCTAATTATTTTTTTAAAAATCAGACCTTTTTTTAAAATTTATTTATTATAAAAAAATTGGAGCACTAATTTTCAAATGAGAGGCCACTTCGGCATCCGCTGATAGTAACCTGATGTCACCCCAGCAAAGGGTCGACAATTTGAAATCTTGAGAAGTGATTCTTTGAATTTTGACACTTTTGAAAGTTTTCAAAAATAATAACATCAAGTCAAAGAAAACAAATGGCGCCGAGCAACCATATCTGGAGTCCAGACAGGATCCTGAGAGTACCTTAAGAGTACCACGCGATAGTGTTCAGTCTTTTTAATTTGGACGATATCTTAGTTCTTAAGTTTTTAGAAAAGTTTTCAATAAGCTTGCAAAAAAGCTTATCTCAGAAACTAAGACGAAATGAGCAAATTAATTTCAAGCCAAGATCTGCAATCTCTGAGAATACCCAGAGAACACCCCACTGTAGGGTTGAGTTTTAAAAATTTGAAACGTTGTTTTCTAATTCTAGTTTGTTTTTAAATAATTTTGAAAATATTGAAAAATACCAGTTCTCGGAGACAAAACTAATAGATTTGGATTCCCAGAAATATTCTGTGAACTGAGCATCAAACTACAAGTTTGAGAGTTTCAAATTTTGTCTAGTTTTAAAATACATTTTCTTCGAAAAAATACTGTTTTTAAAAAATCAAAATACGTAAAAAACTAAAAAGATTTGAGCAATCATTTTGGAGGCTTAATTTGCAAAGGTTAAAAGTCCCCTGACAGCAACTTATATTACGGAGTTGAGAATTTTAATTTTTGTCAAATTTTTATTGTATAAACTTCTTTAAAAAAACCAGCAAAAATATTTTGTGGAAAAAAAATGAGCAAGGCGAAATAGTGAAGACCGCATTTGAATATATGATAGATGAGCAAGATCTATAGTTAATGGCAAAAAGTTGGCAATATTGTTTCGGTAAAGAATCTGAACGAAGTTTTATAACCTAAAACTGCTCATTTTGTCGTCGAATTTCATCTTATTACTAATTTTAACACGTAAAAAGGGTTTTCGAAAAAATAGTTTTACTAAAATGCTTGTTTAAACGATTAAAAAATTGATTAAACTTTTCAACCTCATCGATATTGCCAATTTTTGGACATTAACTCTATTTCAGACTGTTTTTGCATGCGAAAATTTTCTTTACCTTAAGAAATAAATCTTAAGAACTCAAGCACCTAAAATTTAAATTTGCCTGCAAAAACTGCTCAAAATTGACATATTGCTCTTTTTAATCAATTCTGCTTGGTCTCGATTTTTGCAACTTTTTAATGGTCAATTGCTTTTTAATGGTTAAATTATTATTGTCAGTACAAACTTTCAATTGCGATAGCTTTTGGGTCAAAAAAGCTGATCAAAATTAGTTGATCTAGAACTGCTCATTTCAACGGCGGAGTTCAGTTTAGTATTATAGATTTCCACAGGTTAAAACCGTGTTTAAAAATGATTGATCTAAAATGCTTAAATTTTGACTGACTTAATTGCTCAAGATCATCGGTATGAACAACAGTTTGACATTATAAAAGTTTGCAAAAGTTGGAACAGAAAAAAAGTAAAAAACAAGAACCTTGCATAAACAATCAATTGAAAACTCACTCACACAGTTAGACGGAAATAACTTTTCAAATTTATAAAAGTGGTTCAAATTTTGTGACAAAAGTCATAAAGGCAAAATTAGAATTAAAAATAGCAGTACTTTAGCTAGCCCGGTTGAGTTAGTAAACTATATTTCAAAGGAGAGTTGATCAGAAGTTGAAAAGACAAAATTAAATAAAATAGCATGTAATGCACCTGAAGTGCTTTAAACAGATTAGTGAACCTGAAAGTTGCTTATACGTAAAATATAAGGAAAAAAATAGAGAAATGTATACAAACGTGAAAAATACGCGGAAACCATCAACGCTTTTGATTTCAAAGTTTGGACGATGAAATAATTTTGACTTAAAGGTTCATTCAACTAAAAGGCTCAATATTCCAAACACTAGAGCATTTCAGATCTTCAAAAGACTGCTCATTTTGTCGTCGAATTTCATCTTATTACTAATTTTATCACGTAAGAAGGGTTTTCGAAAAAATAGTTTTACTAAAATGCTTGTTTAAACGATTAAAAAATTGATTAAACTTTTCAACCTCACCGATATTGCCAATTTTTGGACATGAACTCTATTTCAGACTGTTTTTGCATGCGAAAATTTTCTTTACCTTAAGAAATAAATCTTAAGAACTCAAGCACCTAAAATTTAAATTTGCCTGCAAAAACTGCTCAAAATTGACATATTGCTCTTTTTAATCAATTCTGCTTGGTCTCGATTTTTGCAATTTTTTAATGGTCAATTGCTTTTTAATGGTTAAATTATTATTGTCAGTCCAAACTTTCAATTGCGATAGCTTTTGGGTCAAAAAAGCTGATCAAAATTAGTTGATCTAGAACTGCTCATTTCAACGTCGGAGTTCAGTTTAGTATTATAGATTTCCACAGATAAAAACCGTGTTTAAAAATGATTGATCTAAAATGCTTAAATTTTGACTGACTTAATTGCTCAAGATCATCGGTATGAACAACAGTTTGACATTATAAAAGTTTGCAAAAGTTGGAAAAAAAACAAGAACCTTGCATAAACAATCAATTGAAAACTCACTCACACAGTTAGACGGAAATAACTTTTCAAATTTATAAAAGTGGTTCAAATTTTGTGACAAAAGGCAAAAAGGCAAAATTAGAATTAAAAATAGCAGTACTTTAGCTAGCCCGGTTGAGTTAGTAAACTATATTTCAAAGGAATTGATCAAAAAATAGTCGCAAACCTCAACCTCAACCTCAATTTTACGTCAAATCTTGCCTTTTTTCCACAAAATCTTGCCTTTCTTGCTTTGTTCAGTTGTAATTTTTCTCGAGAATTGAGATTTTTCGTTACGGAATTTAATTAATTTCAACAGAAAACCGTACTTAGAACAAGGTTTTCTGTTTCTTCACAATGGCATAGCGCTGAGGGAGAATATTAAAAACTCAGCAATATACTTATAAATTAGTTTTTAGATGAAAGATGCCAATGAGACGCAACAGAGAATCGGCACAATAGCAAATCCCTCAGCTTTGGGTAATCGTGAAGGAACAAAAAACCCTACTTGAAATACTCTTTGACTTGAATTAAATATCGCAACAAAAAATTCCAAATTTCGAGAAGGATTAAAGCTGAACAAAGTAAGAAAGGTAATTTTTTGTGAAAGAAGGGCACTATTCGACATAAAATAAGCATTAATTCAGCTAGCCAGGGCTGAGGTTTGCGACTATCTATCTTTAGGCAACATAATTTCTTCTTAGTTCAATTAGGCAGCACCACAGACTTACCTGTGCAAAAAAGTCGAAACTAATTTTTTCTTGTTCGGTAAATTGACTTTTCTGAACCAATTTGATATCCGGAAGAACAGTGAAAAAAGTTTTCAAGGTTTTTGTCTTCAAAGATTTTAACTCTGCGTACACTTTTTGGGCAAGCCACTTCAAAATTCCGGTACGTCTTAATATTTCAGGGAAACAATTGCTTAAGCACTATTTATCTTTTTACTATTGCAATAACGTTTCAAACTTTTCCATCTGTCTTTCAAATTGCATGAGAGTTTCTTTCAAATTTTCCCAGTGTTCAGAAAAAGCACTTTAGAAATTTTTGAATTATAGAGTATACAGGATTGTCATTGAGCATGACTTTGGATTTGCAAAAATAATACGTCAATGATTGAAAATTTAGAGATTCAGCAATCCAAAATTGTTTCAAGCGTTTTTCTCACTGAAGAAACACTTTCTTTTAAAAAACTTTTAATGTGTAAAATTGTGGAAGTTTAAATTAAATGTGCAAAGAATCAATCAAAACTTTTTCTTATGAACAATTTATAAACATCAAGTGTTAAAACTAAAAACAAATATCAGTTCTTATGCTTAGGGCTGAATTGTACTAGTATTTCAGGCTCCAGTACCTCCAGTTCCGCCATCTCCAGTTCCAGTACCTCCAGTTCCGCCATCTCCGGTTCCAGTACCTCCAATTCCGCCATCTCCGGTTCCAGTACCTCCAGTTCCGCCATCTCCGGTTCCAGTACCTCCAGTTCCGCCATCTCCGGTTCCAGTACCTCCAGTTCCGCCATCTCCGGTTCCAGTACCTCCAGTTCCGCCATCTCCGGTTCCAGTACCTCCAGTTCCGCCATCTCCGGTTCCAGTACCTCCAGTTCCGCCATCTCCGGTTCCAGTACCTCCAGTTCCGCCATCTCCGGTTCCAGTACCTCCAGTTCCGCCATCTCCGGTTCCAGTACCTCCAGTTCCGCCATCTCCGGTTCCAGTACCTCCAGTTCCGCCATCTCCGGTTCCAGTACCTCCAGTTCCGTCATCTCCGGTTCCAGTACCTCCAGTTCCGCCATCTCCGGTTCCAGTACCTCCAGTTCCGCCATCTCCGGTTCCAGTACCTCCAGTTCCGCCATCTCCGGTTCCAGTACCTCCAGTTCCGCCATCTCCGGTTCCAGTACCTCCAGTTCCGCCATCTCCGGTTCCAGTACCTCCAGTTCCGCCATCTCCGGTTCCAGCATCCCCGTCACCTGTTACCGGATCTTCGGTTGTATTTTCTACAGCCTCCGTTGTCGCCGCAATAGTTGTAACCGCAGATAAGTCCGGGGCAGCTGTTGTAGTAACCACCCCATTTCTAGTCGCATTTTCCTCGAAGAACAGCAAATAATACGTTGAAAGTAAGGCTGGAGATCCCAGCATTATTAGGACATATGTTAGAGCAACCAGCACTTTGTTCCGGGTGTTTTCCTTCGGCCGGAGCAATTTTTTTTCTGCTAGAGCCAGTTTGGCTCCATAGGGGCCATATTTGTCATACTTTTGCCTAAATATACTCACTAGCTGGATGATCAAGTTAATTTCAAAAAAAATTGTCACCTGTAATCAACAGAAACCAACAATTAAGAGAGTTAGGTCTTAATTTTCCGATCTTATTTTCCAATCAGAAAACTAAATTTTAAAACAAATTGCATGCATTTGAATGAATGAACTCAATCTTTTCAATCATTCTTTCTAAATAATTTTTGAAGAATTTATTCTTGCAAACTTAAGCAATAAAGTTTGCCATACATGTGTCTAGCACTTTCTACTTTTTGTGAGTTCAACCAGTAGCGGATTTAGGGGTGGGGGGCGTCAATATATTTCAAGACATTGAACCCTAGCCGACCCAAAGGGTCCCCCTTTGTACTATTTTGAGACGTCCGTTTTTTCAGCCAGTTTTTTCAAATTTTGGGCAGTTTTTTCAAATTTTGTCTGCGGCGCAGAAAATTTGGACAGAAGACGGCATTTTTATTGATGTGGGAGACCTCAAACAATCAATTTAATCAACCGCAAAAAATGCCGACAAAATTTTGGAAAATCTTTTGAAAATCCGCCCCCTCGAGAAAATCCTAGATCCGCCCCTGAGCTCACCTGAAATGTGAGGTCTACTAACTCTTGATGATAGTCATGGATAAAAATGGTTTGATCGACCAAGGTTAACTATGGATTTCAGCCGGTTTTTTTGGAATCGAATGATTGTTTGAAATTAGATTATGATTAAACTTTCAATGGAGGTTCGAGAAATCTTATTAATTGGGTTAGAAAAACTGAAATAGAGATGAACTTTACCTTGCAATGGGGTTGTTCATTGCGTTGTTTGCATTTTTAGTCGACGCCATTATAGAACGTATATATTTGCGAAAAAAAACACTCAACCAAGCAAGATAAATTGTATGGTGCGTGTTTTCTTTGTGTTTGTAAATGTTCGTATCTTTAAAACAGAACACGCTATGAGAAATTATTCAATAAACTAAAATTTTGTTTCTGATTGAACGACCTGAAAATGCGCTTTAAAACTGCATCAAATTTAAGATGTCTTGTCTGTGTAACATGTCCAAACCGACCCGCCTCCCACTAAATTAGCTAGCTGGCACATGAATTGCAAACTTTTTTTTAGCTAAAATTATGTCCTCTCCCTCATAATCTTCCGTGTACGAACTTTTTTCCAAAATTTAATTCTTATGCATGAACTAATATCAAGTTTTTGATCCCGCTTTTTGAATATTTGATGAAAGTAATGACATTATGCTCGGTGGGTAGTTTTTTAGACAAATGTAGACGTATCAAATTAGCCTCGTATAATTAACATACGCAAAGTTACTAGCTCTTCTTAATAAAACACAGGGGCGGAGTTAAAATTATTTCGAGGAGGCGGATACTTCTTCCAGTTTTTTTTTGGTTTTTTATATTGCTCGAGCTGGTTTTTCGAAATCCCCCAAACCCCTCATATGCTTATTTTTTTAATGAAAATATGGAAAAAAACTGCCTTTTTTGGAAGTTATGGACCATAAGTGCCCAAAAAACTTGCATGTTTTGGTGCTTGCTGCTTCATCAAAATCAGAATTCATTGGCGCCAAAGGCACGTTAAGAAAAACATAAGGTGTAGCCGGGAAACATAGCTGTCCTAGAATAGTTCCAAAGGCATACCTTTTGGTTGGTAAGGGCTCGAATCTTCAAGAAGCGGTCGCAATAAGGTTCTATTGCTAATAATATCAGACTTCCTTGACGTTAAGAAAAATATGAGGTGTAGCCGGGAAACATAGCTGTCCTAGAATAGTTCCAAAGGCATACCTTTTGGTTGGTAAGGGCTCGAATCTTCAAGAAGCGGTCGCAATAAGGTTCTATTGCTAAAAATATCAGAATTCATTGACGTTAAGAAAAATATGAGGTGTAGTCGGGAAACATAGCTGTCCTAGAATAGTTCCAAAGTCTTACCTTTTGGTTGGTAAGGGCTCGAATCTTCAAGAAGCGGTCGCAATAAGGTTCCATTGATAATAATATCACAATTCATTGACGTTAAGAAAAGTATGAAGTGTAGTCGGTAAACATAGCTGTCCTAGAATAGTTCCAAAGGCATAGCTTTTGGTTGGTAAGGGCTCGAATCTTCAAGAAGCGGTCGCAATAAGGTTCTATTGCTAATAATATCAGACTTCCTTGACGTTAAGAAAAATATGAGGTGTAGCCGGGAAACATAGCTGTCCTAGAATAGTTCCAAAGGCATACCTTTTGGTTGGTAAGGGCTCGAATCTTTGAGAGGCGATCGCAATGAGGTTTAATTGATAATAATATCAGAATTCGATGACGTTAAGAAAAACATGAGGTGTAGCCAGGAAACATAGCAGTCCTAGAAAAGTTCCAAAGGCATACCTTTTGGTTGGTAAGGGCTCGAATTTTTAAGAAGTAGTCGCAATAAGGTTCCATTGATAATAATATCACAATTCATTGACGTTAAGAAAAGTATGAAGTGTAGTCGGGAACATAGCTGTCCTAGAATAGTTCCAAAGGCATAGCTTTTGGTTGGTAAGGGCTCGAATCTTCAAGAAGCGGTCGCAATAAGGTTCTATTGCTAAAAATATCAGAATTCATTGATATTAAGAAAAATAGAGGTGTAGTCGGGAAACATAGCTGTCCTAGAATAGTTCCAAAGTCTTACCTTTTGGTTGGTAAGGGCTCGAATCTTTAAGAAGCGGTCGCAAAAAGGTTCTATTGATAATAATATCAGACTTCCTTGACGTTAAGAAAAACATGAGGTGTAGCCAGGAAACATAGCAGTCCTAGAAAAGTTCCAAAGGCATACCTTTTGGTTGGTAAGGGCTCAAATTTTTAAGAAGTAGTCGCAATAAAGTTCCATTGATAATAAAATCAGAATTCATTGACGATAAGAAAAACTTGAGGTGTAACCGGGAAACCTAGCTGTCCTAGAATACTTTCAAAGGTATACCTTTTGGTTGGTAAGGGCCCGAAGCTTTAAGAAGCGGTCGCAAAAATGTTCCATTGATAATATTATCAGAATTCAATGACGTTAAGAAAAACATGAGGTGTAGCCGTGAAACATAGCAGTCCTAGAAAAGTTCCAAAGGCATACCTTTTGGTTGGTAATGGCTCAAATTTTTAGGAAGTGGTCGCAATAAAGTTCCATTGCTAATAATATCATAATTTATTGACGTTAAGAAAAATATGAGGTGTAGCCGGGAAACATAACTGTCCTAGAATACTTCCGAAAGTATACCCTTTGGTTGGTAAGGGCTCGAGTTTTTAAGAAGCGGTCGCAAGAAAGTTCCACTGATATTAATATCAGAATTCAATGACGTTAAGAAAAATATGAGGTGTAGCCGGGAAACATAGCTGTCCTGGAAAAGTTCCAAAGGCATACCTTTTGGTTGGTAAGGTATCGAATCATATAAGAAGCGGTCGCAATAAGGTTCCTGTGAAAATAATGCTAGAAATCATTGACGTTGAGAAAAATATGAGGTGTAGCTGGGAAAAATAGCTGTCCTAGAAAAGCTCCAAAGGCATACCTTTTGGTTGGTAAAGGCTCGAGTCTTTAAGAAGCGATTGCAATAAGGTTCTATTGATAATAATATCAGAATTCATTGACGTAAGAAAAATATTAGGTGTAGCCTGGAAACATAGCTGTCCTAGAAAACTTCCAAATGCATAACTTTTGGTTGGTGAGGGCTCGAATCTTTAAGAAGCGGTCGCAATAAGGTTTCATTGATAATATTATCAGAATTCATTGACGTAAGAAAAATTTGAGGTGTAACCGGGAAACATAGCTGTCCTAGAATAGCTCCAAAGGCATACCGTTTGGTTGGTAAGGGCTCAAATCTTTAAGAAGTGGTCGCAATAAGGTTCTATTGATAATAATATCAGAATTCATTGACGTAAGAAAAATATGACGTGTAGCCGGGAAACATAGCTGTCCTAGAAATCTTCCAAAGGCATACCTTTTGGTTGGTAAGGGCTCGAATATTTAAGAAGCGGTCGCAATAAGATTCCATTGATATTAATAAAAGAATTCATTAACGTTAAGAAACATATGAGGTGTAGCCGCGGAACATAGTTGTCCTAGAGTAATTCCAAAGGCATACTTTGGTTCGTAAGGGCACGAATCTTTAAGAAGCGGTCGCAATAAGGTTCCATTGATAATAATATCAGATTTCATTGACGTTAAGAAAAATATGAGGTGTAGCCGGGAAACATAGTTGTCCTAGAATAGTTCCAAAGGCATACCTTTTGGTTGGCAAGAGCTCGAATTTTTAAGAAGCGGTCGCAATAAGGTTTCATTGATAATAATATCAGAGTTCAATGACGTTAAGAAAATTATAAGGTGTAGCCGGGAACATAGCTGTCCTAGAATAGTTCCAAAGGCATACCTTTTGATTGGCAAGGGCTCAAACTTTTAAGAAGCGGTCGCAATAAGGTTCCATTGATAATAATATCAGATTTCATTGACGTTAAGAAAAATATGAGGTGTAGCCGGAAAACATAGTTGTCCTAGAATAGTTCCAAAGGCATACCTTTTGGTTGGCAAGGGCTCGAATTTTTAAGTAGCGGTCGCAATAAGGTTTCATTGATAATAATATCAGAGTTAAATGACGTTAAGAAAAATATAAGGTGTAGCCGGGAACATAGTAGCTGTCCTAGAATAGTTCCAAAGGCATACCTTTTGATTGGCAAGGGCTCGAATTTTTAAGAAGTGGTCGCAAAAAGGTTCCATTGATAATAATATCAGATTTCATTGACGTTAAGAAAAATATGAGGTGTAGCCGGGAGACATAGCTGTCCTAGAATAGTTCCAATGGCATACCTTTTGGTTGGCAAGGGCTCGAATTTTTAAGTAGCGGTCGCAATAAGGTTTCATTGATAATAATATCAGAGTTCAATGACGTTAAGAAAAATATAAGGTGTAGCCCGGAACATAGCTGCCCTAGAATAGTTCCAAAGGCAAACCTTTTGGTTGGTAAGGGCTCGAATTTTTAAGAAGCGGTTGCAATAAGGTTCCATTTGATATTAATATCAGAATTCGTTGATGTTAAGAAAAATATGGGGCGTAGCCGGGAAAAATTGCTGTCCTAGAATAGTTTCAAATGTATACCTTTTGTTTGGTAAGGGCTCGATTATTTAAGAAGCGGTCGCAATAATGATCCGTTGATAATAATATCAGAATTCCTTGACGTTAAGAAAAAATGAGGTGTAGCCGGGAGACATAGCTGTCCTATAATAGTTCTAAAGGCATACCTTTGGTTGTTAATGACTCGATCATTAAGAAGCGGTCGCAATACAGTTCCATTGATAATAAAATAGGAATTCTTCGACGTTAAGAAAAATATGCGGTGTAGCCGGGAAACATAGCTGTCCTAGAATAGTTCCAAAGGCATACCTTTTGGTTGGTAAGGGCTCGAATCTTCAAAAAGCATTCGCAATAAGGTTCCAGTGATAATAATATCAGAATTTATCGACGTTAAGAAAAATATGAGGTGTAGCCGGATAACATAGCTGTCCTAGAATAGTTTCAAAGGCATACTTTTTGGTTGGTAAGGGCTCGAATTTTTAAGAAGCGGTCGCAATAAGGTTCTATTGGTAATAATATCAGAATTCATTGACGTTAGGAAAAATATGAGGTGTAGTCTGGAAACATAACTGTTCTAGAATAATTCCAAAGGCATACCTTTTGGTTTAAAAGGGCTCGAATCTTTAAGAAGCGGTCGCAAAAAGGTTCCTTTGATAACAATATCAGAATTCATTGACGTTAAGAAAAAATGAGGTGTAGTCTGGAAACATAGCTGTCCTAGAATAGTTCTAAAGGCGTACCTTTTGGTTGTTAAGGGCTCGAATATTTAAGAAGCGGTCGCAATAATGATCCATTGATGATAATATCAGAATTCAGTGACGTTAAGAAAAATATGAGGTGTAGCCGGGAAAAATAGGCTGTCCTAGAATAGTTCCAAAGGCA